GGATTCGAGATGAGATGGTTCTGTGCATTTACAAATGAAATAAATTATTATTATATTATTCTGATCAGGGAAGATACTTATCGAAAGCTTCACAATCTTATATTGTAAAGTCAACTGTAGGTATCTTTTCTTCGGGAGACCCTCCAAAAAAAACCTATCATGATTTACATTCAGATTTCTACCAAAAAAATCAGGTTTCTACTCTAAAAACTTCAAAATAAATCAACATAACTTTCCGAACCTTTGGGATTATCTGTTGTAGTACGGGCGTTTCCGTTCTGAATGCCATTGGAGACCCCATTCGAAGTTACGCTCTGATGGCATCCGTTACTTTCCATCTGTTTTTTCTCCTCAGCTTGAATGTTTATTAAGAGCTGCAAGAAGTCATTCCTCTTGAGTGCACTCGATTCTCTGTACTTAACAGCTTCCTTGAGGACTGACATGAAGAAATCCTCCACCTTAAAAAAACGAGAAATACAGAAAATGAATATAAATGCATCTGGTATGAATGAAAAATGTTACACCTGAATATGCTGACTGATATTTTCTCGATTTTAACGATAACACGTTTGAAGCCGAAAAATTACATGACAGCATTTTAACACAAACCTAAATTTGATGTTCGAGCAATAAGAATATTCAGGCCAACAATTAAACTCTAGATTTAAATTTGTTAACGTGTGCCCAAAAAGGTGTTTGACTGGAAATAAGTGGATTGCATTTTCCAAAAATGAACCAAGAGCATTCCTATGTTGCTAGGATTGTGCAACTTACATTCTTTGAATTAAGATAACTGAAGTAATCCACTTAACGCAAAAAATTAAATTTACAGAGGTAATTTTCTTCTTGAATTTATAGTTTATGTGGGAGTGATGATACAACTTGTTTAGATGATCAGTTTATGTTTGCAAGGTAGAAAAAGTTGCACAATCTCAGCGACATTGGAATGTTCTTGGTTGCTTTTTGCAAAATGCAATCCACGTCACATCTCATTTCTTCCAGGATGGCACTTAACTTTTCTCTTCGATATACTGTCCAAAAAAGGAAGATTAATTTTTTTTCTATTTGCGCCCTGAAAAGCACGCAGAGGAAAGAGCTGAAAATGAGTTTGAAATATTCATGCTATACAACCTGAAAAATTGGTAACGTTGCATGGTGTCAGAATTTTTTATTTTTGGATGATCATGGTGTCAACAAAAACTTAGAAAAACTGTTTGTTGACACCATAATCGTTGACACCATGCTACGTAATCGATTTCTCTTACCTCCGGATGAACAGACTTGAGTCTGAGAAGTGTGATGAGTTTCGGGCCGAGGGATCTAAGCATATTCCTGATTCGGATTCGTTTGGAAGGCTTGAAGATGAGACGACCGATGCGCCGAAACTCCGAGCTCTCGTCTCGGATCGAGTTGCAATTAAGCCCGAAGGCGCAGGAACCGATGACGTCAGTGGTGAACTTAGCCATGAGCTCCCTCAAATTCTGCACATCCGAGACACATCTGCTGAGATAGTCAGCCAACTCGTGGATGCAACCCTGCATCAAGTCTTGCATCGACTTTAGCTTACCCGAGCTGAAAGTTGGCGTCAGCTTGTACCGCACGTTCTTCCACCTGTTGGATGTGAAAATTCGGATTTAGAACAGTATTATTTAAAAAATCGGGTCCGCAATGATAGGTACACAGAGAAAAAAACCTCGTGCGTGGGACCCGAAGTTTCGGTCATATGGATCTCTGAAGTTTTCAGATTGAGCATCTGAACACTTAAGGTCTAGCTGTCGAGGTTCGGATGACACATCTGAAACTTCAGTTCTTACATCTGAAGTACTTCAGATGTGGGAACCGAAGTTTTTCGGATGTGAGAATCGAAGTTTTTCGGATGTAAAAACCGAAGTACTTCAGATGTAAGAACTGAAGTTTCAGATGTGTCATCCGAACTTCGACAGCTAGACCTTAAGAGTTCAGATGCTCAATCTGAAAACTTCAAATATCCATATGACCTAAACTTCGGGTCCCACGCACGAAGTTTTTTTCTCCGTGTAGAGTTCGTCAGACCATGGAAGGCGAAAATGACATCGTATTCGACGTCATTAATGAAGAGCTTGTCTGGTACAATCATGTTAACAAGATGACGGAAGAGAGGCTGCCGAAGAAGATACTTGATTGGGTTCCTCCTGGGAGGAGACGAAGGGGATCCCCCGTGGGGTTGCAAAGTATCTGAAGGGCTTTGGAAAGATAGAATGCTTTGGCGGCTGGGTGTCGTAGAGCGCCAAAGAGCGCTGTCAAAGCGGCTTTTATGTATGTATTATTTAAAAAATAACAAATCGATTTTGAAAGTTTTGGATCCTAAATTGGAAGGTTTTTTTGAGAACTGATCAGGGACCAAGGTTGCACTAAGTACCAAATGCAGCTATTGGAAATTATTGAACAGATTGGTCTCGATCTCAAACCGTAAATTAGATCATCTCCGGGAATCAGTGAGATCTTCGAGATCTGTGCCTAATTTTTTAGCAAAGCTTTTATGCTAGGCTAAAATACAAAACAATTATTGCGAGCCGCTGACGAGAAATATCATTTAGTATCCCGAAAAATCATTTGTGAGTCGTTCAAAATAGAGAATTTCTAATGGATAGACACAAACTGCATTATAATTCGGAAAACTACAACATGAATGTGAATTTCAAATTTTAAAACGTGAGACAGCAGATTTTGTTTGATGTTTTGGAGCATTATAGTGCATTTATACTTTTTATAGAGAGGAATAAATCAGTATCTAAGTAAGCCCCATAACTACGTCCCTAGAAAAATCGCTCAGTTCTAACATTTCAGAGTGTAATTCATTCTTCAGGGAGAAAATGAAGCGATATGTCGGCTTGAAATTTTCACAGAAAGACCATGAAATAGTAAAGAGAAAGCTACAAGCCACATGACTCTGATTTAATTTCTCTACACATCTCTAAGTATTGGCAAACATTAAGCCATCAAAACTCCTGAATCCAAACTGTCGTAATGTTCCGAAAACTTGGTCCCCGATTGGCTTCAGCCGTTAATTTCCGACTTGTTTTAGATGATGTTGAGAGAAGGCCGAGAAAAATCTCGACAAATTTCGAACACTAATCCATTCTGTTAATGAGCATCAAGCTATGGTGAGAGATATACATATGTTTACTAAAAAAGTGAGATCATTTCTTTTCTCATTGCATCATGATGTGCGCATTGATCTCTGCTTTGATAAGTCGACCGACGAGAAAAATCACTTTATCTCTCATGCAAAAATAAGAATATGGCGCATGTAGAAGAAATCAAACCTTAATGTCAGCAAACCTACGGAGATAAAATTACTTCTGTGTTCATAGGATAAAAATAGTGTCCTCCCAAAGCTCATCTTTGCGTTTCAAGAAATTTTCTAGCAATTGAATTAGACGAACAATATGTGACATCGAAAAAATTCTGTCAATAATTTAAATTTGTTTCTTTAAGTTTCAAAGGCTGTCCCGAAATTTTCAGAGGAGAATTTCAACTAAATTTGGGCGTTGAAAGTTCAAGATCGGTCTGTACTAGCGCAGTTGGAAAGAAACTTCGGCCAACAGGAAAGAAACTTCGGCCAGCAGGAAAGAAACTTCGGCCAGCATTATTGCGCAGGTCTTTCTCTGCAGAGATTTGTTATTCGTAAGTTTGGTCGATTTTGGAAAAGAGTGTGCCAGTTTCAGTTATTATTTACCCAATGGGCTTGTTGCACGCAAGAAATACAGCCAACTGAATATTTTTGCCTATGCGGATCAACCTATACAATTTTAAGGAGGATATCAGGATCAGTGGAAATTGCCATTTTTTAAAAAATCCTCTTCGGGCAAGAGATCTCACACACATACAATCTTTGAGGAAGACTACGGACACAACGGGATACGAGATCCACTTCTGATTGGTTTAATCATATCAAGCTCATATGGGACTGTTAAAGGTCCAAAATGGTAGATTCCATAAACAGATTTAAAATAAAATGAATAAATTTTTGGGGATATTCCCTCGTAGCATTGTGACTGTGAAAACCCAATTTCCCGAAACCTGATTCTTTCCGTCCATTAAAGTTCGTTTAATTCATTCAAAAACCAATTTTAAGCATTATATAAAAAAGAACATCCTGTCCGTCTAAACCGTTTATCTTGAAGATTTACTGAACATAAGAAATAACTGTCAAAAGTTGGCAACGACTCCGCTCTCATTCAAAACCGCTGATATATTTGCGGGCCCAAGGCAGCAGCAACTCCCATAGGGCCCAGTGTCTATACTGTCGCGCCAAGGAAGAACGCCGTTTGAACATTTGAGAGTTGCCAAATTTCCTTCGATAAAATATTTATTTTTGAGGAAAGTTATCAATATTTCTCCTTTAAAGTTTTAGAATCTTTAGGAGAGATTGCGAACAAAATTATCTGGAAAATTGGGAGGAAAATATTTATAAGCTTGCCCGGAAATTCGCGTTTATCAAGGAAAATTTGGCAATGCCTGATGGCTCATACGGCGTAACTCCTAAGCACGCCAGCATAGTACATGCTCTTTTCGTGGTGGTCAGACCGTGCAAACTTTTATTCTGCGCGACTGACCGCACCAATCAATCGAAACTGTCAGTGAGTAATTCTACGAGAACTGCGAAGTCATAGCTCTGCACTTAAGACGTCGAATGACCGCAGCTGCGTTGATCGAAACAAGTTTTTTTCTCCTCAAGAGCCTCTAACATTCCACGCCCAGGATATTTCGTAGTTTCTGGGCCCCAAGCTTACGTAAGAGGTAAAAGTCATTGCGCGTCGCCGCAGGAGAAGTTTTCATTTCGAGTTTCCATCCGAGCAAAACCTGCGATCGTTAACAGCAAAGGGAGTACCTTCCTAGATATAAACTCCAAAGTGATATATCCGCTTTAAGGGGCGCATAATGTGGGGATTCTGGGGGGTAACTCTCAAAAAAAATTATTTTGTGGCCACTCAATGTCACAAAACCCCCTTGAGGAATCAATGCGCCCTTTGCAACCGCCCGAAAAAATTCCCTAGCTACGGCCACTATTAGTACAGGTGACAGGTTTACAGGTGAGCTTAACAAACAGTTTGGCACAAACAACACCTAAACATATCGTACTTAACCAAAGATAGGACTGCTGCAGGTCGATTATTAAAATTGATGGACAAAGCTATAGACAAAGAAGACTAGAAGGATCCGGATGGATCCTATTGGTGGAACCGGGTATAGTTACAATCGACAAAGGCAGTTGGCAATAGACGAACTGACGGCAACCCACGAGAGACCCTATAGTTAGTCCATCATTTTCTCCCATTAGTCCATAGGATCCGCCTATTTTAACCAATAGGATCGCTCCATACTCCCTATGTCTTCTTTGTCCATCGTTTTGTCTATCAATTTCAATAGTCAGCCCGCAGAAGCCTGTGGTGGACCACTAGACAGGGTCTGAACTAGAAATTAACGTCACATGAGTTCTCTTCAAAATCTTACATAGAAAAGGAGCCATACAACGAGAATTTCGGAAGTCAACTACTGAACAAAATATTGGCAAATCTTTTTGAAACAGATCAAATGGAAGTCAGATTATACAAACATGCATTTTTGTCATTTAACCAATGTTGATTTTAAATACTTATATCATCTTGTTTAGGAGTTGATTTTCAGACTTCCCGTTACGTGGACGTTTTTGTCGTAAAACTTTGAAGAGAAAACATCTTGCGTGGTGTTTCAGTTCGTACCTTGTCTAGAGCCCCATTAAAATACGCAGATTTGAAAAGAATCAATTCACCAAAAAGTCTGTCAAAGCGCGTCACAGATAAGGCGGTGAGTGCCTGGAGAGCCAAAACGCCTTCAACTCTGTGCGTATGCAATACGGACATCCGTAAAGCCCGAATAGTTGCATCCAGGCGATATAGTGAGATTCGTTTGATGTTTGTCGCATGTGAAATTTACTCAGAGTGCTTTGCTTATTTCTTTTAAACCACAACTCAATTTCAACGTCGCCTACTGTACCAATAAAGTAAACGATTGCAGATTGGGAGAAATTGCCAATTTTCTGTAAAACGCATTGATTGTTTAGTAATAATAAAACGTTAAGGGACCTCGAAATCTCAAAAAATGACCTACAACAGATACCTATCTGTCCCAGATTTTTTTAATATGAACCAAAGTTCAATTCTTGTGGCCAAGATATTTTGCTTTGTGCAAAACATTCTTTTGACATGGACCATGGTATGGTGTAGCCATGACGCAGTGGATCGAGTCAATTAGAGAGGTCGGACATGAAATCGTAGACTAAAACTGTAAATTTTGGTGTTAATTTCGTCACATTCTACATTTCAAGGGGTGCTTTACGCGAAAAATTTCACGAGAAAACCAATGGAGCCACTTTTACGACCTCAAAGGTTTGTATGAACGGAGTTATAAGCTTTTAAAGTTTCCACAGTACACTGGAAAAACAGAATCTTAAATTTGCCGCCAGGAAGTATTTCTTCTTGAATCAAGAATTTTGCTGGTTAATATAAGCTACTTTTTCGCTTGACCCAAGCATTATTTTTCTTGAATCAAGAAAAAGTCAGCTTAAAGCAAGATAAAGAAAATTCTTGGCGGCAAATTCAAGAATTATCATGCTTGGGTTAAGCAAAAATGTAGCTTATATTAACCAGCAAAATTCTTAATTTAAGAAGAAATACTTCTTGGCGGCAAATTTAAGATTCTATTTTTTCCAGTGTACTGTGAAAACTTTAAAAGCTTAAAAAAAAGTAGCTTGGACTTTTTTTTTCGGTGTATGTCCGACCTCCCTCATTGATTCGACCCACTGTGTGACGTGACAGCTAAAAATCATTAAATTTTTAAAACACAAACCTCTGTCCAGCTAGGTTCAGCAGATGATTAGACAGCGGATCCAGCTTCTCATCGATGATGCTAAACCGATCGTGGAACTGCGAGAAGTTCTTGATGAGGACAGTCCTGATGAGATCGGGGTCCCGGAGCATGATGACCGGTTTGAACATCTGATAGAAGCCCCCGAAATCGTGGCCCTCGAGCTCGTTGTTGAATTTTTAGTAAAAAAAAAGGACTCAGCTATCAATTTCTGTATCGAATACGAGGTTTTTTTCCAAACACGATTCTGCTTTCATTTCTCTGAATTTCGCCGATTTTTGGGTTTAGAATGATTCTTTTTGACCTAATAGATGCGATACATCGCATGCCACTTCGACCACGTCACTTGAGCTTGACGAATCACCTTAACATTACAAAGTAACAATCTACCAAAACACAAACCTCTGTCCAGCTAGGTTCAGCAGATGATTAGACAGCGGATCCAGCTTCTCATCTATGATGCTAAACCGATCGTGGAACTGCGAGAAGTTCTTGATAAGGACCGTCCTGATGAGATCCGGGTCCCGGAGCATGATGGCCGGCTTGAACATCTGATAGAACCCGCCGAAGTCGTGGCCCTCGAGCTCGTTGTAGATCCGCTGGAAGACGAAGGCGTTAGGGACGCGCTGGAGGGCCAGGTCTTTGGTGTTGCCGAAGAACAGGGCGATGGGCCGCACGTGCGGCACGCCGCGGCGCTCCCAGTGGGTGTAACGCTTTTTCAGGAAGTATATGACGTACAGGGATAGGCTGGAGATGGTCAGGATCACCGTTGTCACGGACGGGAGGAAGGTCAGTAGCGAGAACATGGCGATTGCTGTTTATCTGGAACACAAATTAGATAACGTAATTGAAATTTGATGAAATTAACAAAGACAAGAGACCCTCCAGTGGCCTTTGGCGACAGGTGGAAGCTTTTACTTTCGGGGATTCAACACTTCCTTATGGACAATGGAGATGTTGCATGTGTGAGGAATTTGCGATTTGGCTGTTGATTCGTAGGTAAAAGTTCGCGAGAAACACAATGGTGCCACTGGTTTTCTCTGAAATCATCTCCCAAGCTCAAAAAAAGCTCCCAAAGTGAGGCTAAAATGGAGGGGATATTCCACCTTACCCTGAGAGTCCACGTCTACATCGAGACGAACTTTCCATGCACAGATAGGGAGCAAATACATTGACAGGGCTACCACTTTATTTGGGGACTCCAAAACTGAAAAAACGGCAACCCTGCTAATGTATTTGCTCGCCCTATATCTTTGCATGGAGAGTTTGTCTTGATGTAGAGGTGGACTCTCAGGGTAGGGTGGGATATCCCCTCCATTTTAGCCTCACTTTGAGAGCTTTTTTTGAGCTTGGGAGATGATTTCAGAGAAAACCAGTGGCACCATCGTGTTTCTCGCGAACTTTTACATAAGAATCAACGGTCAAATCGCAAATTCCTCACACATGCAACATCTCCATTGAAATTTGATGAAATGAACAAAGACAAGAGACCCTCCACTGGCCTCTCGGCGACAGATGGAAGCTTTTACTTTCGGGGATTCAACACTTCCTCAAGGACAATTATATGAAACCAAGAGTCATCACTCTTTTTCCGGCTTTTGACCTACCTACATGGTGGATGATGAACTTCGGGCGACGTCATGAGCAAAAAAAGTTTCCCAAACTTCGATGTGTTTGCAAAACGAAACTGCAAATATGTTGTTGAACATCAACCATATAGGCAAGTGAGCTGTTAAATGTTGAAGTCCCGAAAGTGGAAGCTTCCACCATAGCCGAGATACGAGTGGAGGGTCTCTTGTCTCTGGAATTGAAGCAAACCATTTTGGGGCGAAAACAATAACTAGGGCGAAATCTGCTGTGCTAAGGAAGAACGCAGTATGAGCCTTCAGACGTTGCCAAGTTTCCTTCGATAAAAACCGAATTTACTGGGAAAATTGTGAATATTTCTTTCTAAAATTTTCAGACGATTTTGTACGCAATTTAATTTAAAATAGCTGAAAATTCCGAGGAAAAATATACGTGAATATCTTCGAAAAACATGTTTTATCAAGGGAAATCTGGCAACTCTCGAATGTTCATGCGACGTTCTTTCTTAAAGCACGGCAGAATAGTGATGATGGGGATGAGAAGATTGGAGCAACCTAAAATGAAAGTTCAGCTGTGTCTAGGCTCAAATTTTGTTAAGTGCGCAGAATTTGTTAGTATATTGAAGCAGAGATAGGCTAATAAAGTATTCCTGGAAGTTTTGCGATCCAAAACATTAGTCATTGAGTAGAAAATTTGAATGAGCTTACAGATAAAGCGTTGATAAATGTTTTATTTACTTCGAAGAAATGATGGGATTATTTCGAAGTCCTGTTTCACCATAGTCTTGTATTTGCTGAAGAGTATACAGTCCTTATGGATTGATTCATGACGTTGATAAGATCATTCATAGGCAAAAAAGTGTAACGATGGCAATAAATGAATATCTAGCAGTTCATAGGTGGACGCGAGATAAGATTAGATGGTTTGTTACTGGGCGATTATTGTTTGACGACAATCTGATAATCAACTGCATTAAGAATAAGGAACGAACTTCTGACTTGCTGCAAACAAATTGTAGTAAACCAAATCAATCGCTAACAGCAACGTAGACTTTTATATTCTGTAAAACATGTTGATGAAGTGTGGCTAACCAACTGCTCCTCAGGAAGAGGTATAGCAATGCTTTTTTTATTTACTTATCCCCTGGGGCTTCTAACTGCCGCAGTTGATTGCAACCTAGATTTAGTACCCGAAGTACGATAGGTCTGTCCAGAGGAAGGAGACCATTTCTTTCGCAAACAACCATCTTTAGAAATTTGTAATTTTAGTGAGAGACAAGTATCCAAAATAGTTATATTAAGTATTCTTTATTAGAGATAATTTGATTTCCCTTCTTACAACTTATCTTTTGGAGGTGAGAAAATCACGGATAATACTCTTTGCGACAAAAATTTATTAACAGATAAAAAAATTCCCTGATTCCAACATGTAAAAATGTTGAACAGTTCATTGCTTAAGCAAAAAGATACACTATGCGGGAGCAATTTTGGCTTTCTAGGTACCATTTTCCCTAAAACTGATGTATACATATCTCGGTACATAATGAAAACATGTTTGAGGAGCTGGTTGTGTTTTCAATTTATAGCAGCTGCTTATATAATGTTGAAAATTGGCCATGTGTGTAAAGTACAAACCGATACTTTTTTCCTTCCGGCATCAGAGTACCTACAGGAACTGAAAGAAAACTGTAGTTATTATACTCTCAACTTTGTATCAAACCCAAAGTTACAATTGTTCTTCTTTGTTACGAATATTTTAGCTGCAACCCATTTTCTGTTATATAGCTCATTTTCCGGACCCCCTTTCTCCACCCAACATCGGAAAAGGACTCCCAGCAATGCGAAATCCAGTCTTGAAGAAGATCATAATATGGCTGACTTATCTAGTGGAGGCACTTCTAGCTCAACATCAATTCCCTTCGGTAATAAGTAATACTTGGCACCCAACGACATTTGAGCGTGAAAAAAGTGAAACAGCAATTTTCTTATTCGAAAATTAACCATCTCTATCAGAAAGTTCTATGAAATTAAAGAGTTGAGTAATAATCTGCATAAAGTTAATAGTAAAGTCAAGTAAAGTAAAAAGTTCCTGACAGGGCCGGATTAAGGGGGTGGCCACATGGGCCGCGTCCCATGGCGGCAAATCTATAGGGGGCGGCAAATTTTGCAATTTTATTAAATGTAGGTAAAAAAAAAAATTAAGATTTAGAAAAAAAAAAATTACAAACAAGAAAAGGCGACAAAATCTCTAATTTTCTGAGAGTATAGTAATTTCTACTTTTGTCGTCTTTCAGTGATACAAGAGGCAGCACCTTTAATTAGTCGAGTTAAGAGAGAAACCAAACATGCAATTTGGCCTGGAACGGCGCGACTTACCTAGCACTGAGAAAAAACTATGGCTTATAAACCTATTAGAGGTAAATATGGAACACCACTAATAGTAGTACCTCTACATATAATAATAGCACATATACCTTAGTTATGGTCTCTGTACCTTAATTAGGTACAGAGACCTTAGTATGGTTCACAGACCGAGAATCATTAGTTTATTTACGACTATTATAGGTGTTCCATATTTACCACTAATAGGTTTATAAACCATAGCTTTTTCTCAGTGAGGGAGAAATGATGACGAGGACTTGAGATGAAAAGGAGAAGCCCTCGGCGCGGCGATCGGCATGGAACACATATTAGCGCCTACAAGACTGCACGAATACTTCACGCATTGCATCAAACACAGTGCGGTCATTGCGAACGGCGTGAAACGGATAGCGCCTACAAGAATGCATGAATACCTCACGCATTGCGTCAAACACAGTGCGGTCTGCGAGGCGCGACGGCGGAAGTTAAAATCATTAATCCACATTTATGTTTGATCTTTCGTTCCTTTCTTATGAGTGGAAGGCCTTGTCCACACAGAGATAGGTTTACGAAACTTAACTTTCGCGCAAAGTTCCGTGAACTTTTGCTAGTAGTGTTGACTGGGTTTCCCAAAAAATGTGTTCAACACCAGTAAACGCGTCTAATGCCCCCTCCCCCGCAGGCACGTTAATTTGTTGGTTTTCATTGATGTTTCAAAACGAATGAGAAGGGGGAGGCAAAATACTAGCGGCCCATGGGCGGCAAGTAGGTAAATCCGGCCTTGGTTCCTGATACTTAGGACAGGAAAAAGAAACTTGTTTACAGTGTTGAAGATTCCTCATCGTATTTTATTCTAGTTAGGTGTTTAGAAACATCGTATAAATTATTTTTTGGTTTATTATGTCGTGTTGTTAATGACGTTAATCTTAATTCAAAATAAAAAAAGAAAATCTAGAGTAAAAATACTAGTGATTTTTCTCTAGAAAAGCACAGAACGAACAAAGATTCTGAGGTAGGTAGTGATTTTCTAGTTAAATCATCATTTTACGGTCAATTGTGTAAGCAAGTCCACAATACATTAGGTACGCATTAAACATTGAGTTAACATTTTTTTTAAAAGAGATCGTGTGTTACAGGAGGAAAAATCGGAGTTCCAACGATTGGCTGAGGGTTCGAATTATGTTGACAAGACTCTACTCATTGAGGAAGCACTAGAGCATCCCAGGGATGCAAGACTCATCATGGCTCCTTCAGGCTTTGGAAAATCCCTGCACTTATCCATGTTACGAGATTTCTTCCAGATTCCGATGAATGAAAACGGGACCGAACAACCGAAAGAACAGACACGCTCTTTCAAAATTTTCCGTAGTAAAAAAATCGGAAGCTCAAAGTTTTTTGGTGAATTTGGGACAAGAGGTGTGGTTTTCTTTGACCTTAACATACTAAGTGATTTCAATAATCTTACTGAGTACCTAGTCAAGTTCCGCAGAGTTATACAGAAGGCTTTTGAACAACACATGTATCTGATTCGCGATCCAAGAACAGAGCTTGACGCGTATCTGAACCGACACATTTTCGAACGCTGTGGAATACTGGACCCTACACTGCCCGTTAACTGCTCAACCCTTGAGAGCTGCGGATCAGATTTACCGCAAATGGTAAAGAGTCATGTCGATAAAGGGGTTCTGCTTTTAATCGATGCTTTTTCCACCCCTTTTGAACGGATCCTTGATAACCGAAATAAGGGTGTGTGGCCAGTTGCTTACACACGGAAGCACCCCATTGGACAAGATGATGATTTAGACCGCATTATCGGTTCCCTCCAACTATTTCTCTCCTCAGTGGTTAAAGGTAACCATGGAGTATGGCGAAGTTACCTGACTGCAATAACTGGTTTTGAAGTACCTTACAATGAGTCCATTATTAACGTTGAATTTGCATCAATTTTTACGTCAAGAAAGCTAGCCACTGGATATGGCTTTACTCAAGGGGACCTCGAACAATTTATCAGTACTTCTGGGATGAGCGCTGAACAAAAGACCAATTTACAGGATTACTTAGAGGGGTATTCTATATTTCAGAAAAATGAGTCTGAGATTGTTGGACCTATTTATTGTCCAGGTCTTGTTACAAAGTATTTAGCCGAGGAGAGAGGAAAACCTTTAGGTACACCTGTTATTGCTGTCAACTATTCTTCATTGCGATCACTGGCTCCGTTTAAAAACTTGTTTTCCCCTAAGCTTTTCGGAAATCAAATTATCAAAAGTTTGAAACCAGATTTCGAAATAGAAATCAAGAACAACTCAAGGATTCAATTTGAAAATTGGTTGCGTCTTCGAGAGGCAGAACAGACAGGGGCTATAAAACATTTCAAGAAGAATCAGAATATCTTTTTACTCTACCTTTTAGAGCATGGCTATTTCAGAGGCCAGTACATTGGTAAAAAGCTGTCGATTAAAATCTCAAACAAGATCGCAAGACTATCTTTGCGCGATGCAATCACCAAAATTGAATATTATCAGGAATATTTAGGATGTTCCGATACTGCAATTCAAGAATTTAGAGACAGTATTGACTCTATTGATGGTAAGCAAAAGACCCTAAATAATATGATAGAATCGATAGAGAAAACTTTTTGGCGAGGTTTCGTAGTAAAACCCCCCAAGCCGGAACTTGAAATTTCCGCTCCGATTTATACTTTTTTAGTAAGATCAAGTGGCAATGAGCGGATAGAAGAATATAATGATATTTTCTTACCTAGACCAAAAATTGGTAACAAAGAAGCAAAAACAATTCAGTCTTCAAGCGAAGCGACTGGATTTGATGTTGTTCTTGTGAAACGAAAAAATGACTTTGGAATCTTGCTTGGAACTGAATTTGATAAAAGACCTAGTACATATTATGCTAGTGAAGATATTTTGTCAGCTCCACAAATTTTACAACAAATGATAGATATGCAATACCACACATATTTTGCAAAAAAGATGTTGAAGAACAGGGCACTTATTAGTATTCATATAAATCTAACGCATGTTTCATGTTGCGCACTATACAATAGTTACGATGTCAATAATAAATTATGCGTGGAAAAGATGGTTAGTTAGCTCATAAGGTGTTCCATTTATTAGGATCATTAATACTTTTTTGATGATCTTTCTTACCTGTTTTTTATATTTAACAAAAAATGAATTTTTAAAGAAGGAGTTGATCTACTATGAGGAGGAAGATCTCATGTAGATCAGGATATCTACTCGAATCTTTGGGGTAAAAAGGAAGTAACTTTTTAGTACGCTTTAAGCGTTTTTTCTTGCAAGAATTGAAATTAAGAACCTGATCTTTAAAAAATATTAAGTAACTGCTTAAGGAATTCTTTCTCATAATTTTAAAAGCAGTTTCTACAAGACAAGTTCTGGCAAATTTTTCAAAAACATTTTGCAAAAAATTTTAGACTATCTGGAAAGATTTCAAGACCCTGGTGAAAATTGGCAGTAGAATCTGAGTTCCAAAATACCATAGACCTAAAGCGGGCAGTAAGATTTCCAGCAGCTTCTGTAGCCGGCTGTACAATTTCTTATAGCCTTTTAGAGCCGATGGCGATTAAGCAACAGCCAGACAATACAGTTTATTCTAAACGTCACTAAACACGGATACTAGGACTTAGTTAGTTTTTGAATCACCGCTCTCTTTTTGTGCCGTAGTATCTTGATTTATTTTGCGAGGAAAGCTCCGTACTTTTGAAGGACCATTCCCAATATGTTGAAGCGCCTTCAATTTTTTATGATACTGAGCAATACCTCTGGTGTAAAATAGTTGCTTCAGACGCCGTGGCACGCTGCGGCGCGGCGGGCGGGCAAAGAGCGCGAACCGCGCATTAGCGCCTACAAACCTAACAGGGATACTTCACGCATTGCGCAATGCGTGAAGTATCCCTGTTAGGTTTGTAGGCGCCAGTGCGTCGCCGCTCCGCTTTGTGTTAGGCTCTAATACTTAATCTGGCGGAGTCAGCGTTATTCAACTCATGATTTTGAAATGTTTGCACACTCTGTATGGACTATTCTCATTTTAATTGATGAAAAAAAAAATACGTTTTAAAGGAAAATATAATGTGTTTTGTAAATATTAAGGTAGTTTCATATCAAACTTAATGATTACCAAAGCACACGAATTTCTACAAAATTTCTTATAGCCTTTTATAGCCAATAGCGATAAAGTGTAAAGCCCGGAGATAGGCCCGGAACTATAGCCCGACTGTATACTTTTATATAGCTTCGTATAGCCCGGCTATACGATTTGCTCCGCTTTCTACAGCCAGCTATATGATTTTCAATAGCCTTCTTTAGTCGGCTATAAGAACTCCTATGGTATTTTGAAACGCAGCTCCTATCGCCAATTTTTACCAGGGGAAACCGAACTTTTTAAATACGTCTGGTTAAGAAGCACTGGTTAGAGGTACTTGTCCAAAATTATTTTCTTATACAGAAGGTGGGTCTCACCTCAAAAAGACATACTCTTCCAGACTTTTTGAACTCGTAAACACTCCAAGGTAGGTGGAATCCTTTTGTATGAATGAATTAAAATAATTAATCGTCATAAAATTAAGGCGCTGAGTGCAGGAAAGGCTGCACTTCTCAGTTGCCGTGTTCCAGAATCTCTGACGCTGATTTGTCTTAGAGCAGAATCTATTGGGTGATTTTTAAAAAAAAAAATCTACAGAACATTCTAGAAATAGACTCACTGGCTCTCAAAACTATTTTACAAGTCCGGCCGCAATGTCGAGCTCCTTTCTTCTTGTTTTTCTTCCTCATTTTATTCCGAGCGAAGAGGAGAGGGGGGGGGGTTGCATGAGCCCCTCATACGCCCCCTGCAATTGAAATGCCGGCGGAGTTCTATCTAGCAAAAGAACATATGGGGCCTTTCAAACGCAGCATATTCAATACCCTAAGTTTGTTGATTGTGCTGCTAGTAGTAAAAGAGGACAGGACTTTTTGGAAGGATGTAAGAAGATAAAATATACGCTAGTAAAAGTGCCGAAAACCCCTAATTTCGACCAAAGCATCCCCTTTGTTTTTCGTCCCACCACGCCACTGGACCCTGCCCCTCACCCCTCCCGCCACCCGATGAAGCTGCAAAAACGCGTATCTCGTTGGCAGTTATTAAAATCTTCATCCCTATTTTGCTTTAACTATCGCTTGACATTGTCATGGAATATTCTTCATGCGTAGATGAAAAATCAGGAAAGTTTCCAAGAGATAGCGTGGAGTATTCCCCATTTAAAAAATCAATTATGACAGGAAGTCTACAATGTCGCAAACCGAGATAAGCTAAACTACGCGATAAATTTAATTAAAAAGGAAATACGTTTGAAGCCGAGGGGTTACATTAATTGAATCTCCTGAACTTTAAACTAGAACGTGGAGGCCAAAAAATGAACTCTTGGGCTCATAATTTTCACAAAGCACACCTTGAAATGAGTTTTCTCAGAAATGTCTATTCTAATATTCCTTCACCAAAGACACTCAATCTTCTATTTGTAATGCATTCTCTAAATGGATGGCGAAACTAGACAAATATGCGCACCGCAGTTGGAATACTGCTAATTTCTTGGCATATTTTATTTTTTTCTTAAAAGACAGACTGATCATTTTTTGACCAAGGTACTTGCAACTTTTTCTTCGCTGTATCACAATGTCATGCGTGAAATATCAAATATTATTCTCTTGAAAATATGAAACATACCGCGAAATTTGAGATCCTCACGATCGAATTTTTAGGAGGCTCATACGAGGGGCTTGGACGACAAGGCGCATCAGAGCAATTTTTGATATTTTGAGAAATACGCCTTTGAAGTTTCTAAATTTCACGGATCCTTATGGCGGGAAGTAAGTTCATACTGACTTTTTGATGCTTAAAAATTGGAATATGGGGTCGCATTTTTCAAAAAATATGCATTAAGACTAATTTTACTTGAAATCATTAATATTTTTTAAAATTTCAATTTTTTCAAAAACTGCACCCATGCGCCTTGTCCTCCAAATCCCTCATTTGTGATGTTACACTGTTTCAATCCGATGCTAGTATATTGAAGAGGAATAATAAACATTGAAATCTAAAATCCTGAGTTCAAGACGAACTTTTTTTTGTAAAGTGGCTTCATCCCTAAGCCGCCTCGCGGCTGAACCCAAGGGGAATCCCATGAATCCTTGACAGATTACTTGTGCATTTCGGAAAGCCTCAGATTTTATTCCAAGGCTACCCAAGCGGGGAATAATGGAGGTGTTGCATGTGTGAGGGATTTGCGATTTGACTGTTGTTTCTTATGTAAAAGTTCGCGAGAATCACGATGGTGCCACTGGGTGTGAGGGATTTGCAATTTGACTGTTGTTTCTTATGTAAAAGTTCGCGAGAAACACGATGGTGCCACTGGTTTTCTCTGAAATCATCTCCCAAGCTCAAAAAAAGCTCTTAAAGTGAGGCCAAAATGGAGGGGATATCCCGCCCTACCCTGAGAGTCCACCTCTACATCAAAACAAACTCTACATGCAAAGATAGGGAGCAAATACATTGACAGGGCTGCCACTTCATTTGGAGACTCCAAAACTGAAAACACGGCAACCCTGCTAATGTATTTGCTCCCTATCTTTGCATGGAGAGTTTGTTTTGATGTAGAGGTGGACTCTCAGGGTAGGGCGGGATATCCCCTCCATTTTGGCCTCACTTTGAGAGCTTTTTTTGCGTTTGGGAGTTAATTGCAGAGAAAATCAGTAGCACCATCGTGTTTCTCGCGTACTTGTACATAAGAATCAATAGTCAAATCGCAAATCCCTCACACATGCAACATCTCCATTGCCCGGAATCAAACTCACTAACCCGGTGAAAACAGATCAATCTATTTATTACATTGGCAACATGCTAACACACTAACAGCTTCGAGGCTTCAAAGATTCAATTTTCTCGAATGGATTTGATTGATAATAATTCTCTTCGATCTAATCTCCATATTTTATGGCCCTCTCCTCTTAATCCTATGAGGTGTTGTCTGCTGTCGCGCGAACAAAATGACAAAATGATGCTTGCCGATTCTTCTTTCATGCGATGACCAGAGTGGAGCTGATAAGTTGCTCCTCTTAACTTCTTCAATTTAAATTATGTGGCATCACATTAAAATTCGGCACTTTCAAGTGAACGATTTAATTCTTGGAAGTAGACAGAGAAGTCTTTGCTTGTCGGTGTCAAAATATGATGAGACTTGAAGCAATTCGAGATGATTCTTTTGCAGTGAGTCAATTTTACAGGATAGTATTACATTCTGCAAGTTTCAATAAATTACTTGGAAATGATTATCTGCACTCATCTTTCCGATATGTTCAGGCCTGTAATAAGTAGGCTCCATAGGAACTTAAAATTGAGACCCAAAATTGATTGAAAATTTAAAGCGATTAAAGAATTTTCGTAGAGACAACATGCTAAAACTTTCAAGGGATCCAGCTTAGTTTTGAAGTTGTATCGCACGATGAAGAATACATCGGTTGTCCAAAGTTCGATCACCCTGTCCTATATTTGTTGGCAAACATCTAAGTATAGCGAATTTTTTAATTTATTGTAATGACGTTCCGCGAAAAGTTGCCTGCTTTTGTTCTTTAACGTTTAGGTTTATTATGAGAACTAACATTCGCTGATCAAAGTGCAAAACCACGTATTTCCATTGCTGTGTTCAAAAATTTCTGATCCTTTTTTTTTTTTTTATTTTTCGAAGAGAAACAAGTCAAGATCACAGTTTAAAATTTACACAGGATGTATTCTGATAAAACAGAGAAAATTGACGCAGCTTTAAATACATTACGCTGACTAATTTTCCAAAGAAAAAAATTAAATGGGACCGAAAGTTTGCAGCGTCGCCGATAGCATTCGTGGTTTTGCACTTGGTCATCGATGATAATGTGTATGTGCAATTAGACTTAGGTGTATTTACCAAAAATCTAAAGATATCATTAATACCTATTAAAAATTGAAGAATTTATTAAAATCATCAACAAACAACTTGGCGCGCTCATACTTACGCGTAGGTATGTATCATTTAAGAATTTCATGGCTGATATGTGCTTTGACTGCTGAGTAAGCTATTTGTGTAATTTTTTACTCATATTATGAAAATTATTGCCCATCTATCAAGACAAAAGTATTAGATGACTCAGCAAAGAATTTTAGTGTACGTATCACCTACTTCTAATTTGTAAAATTACTACCTACCACGTAAACATCACAACGTTGGTCATGACAGTCAAATTGCAACGTGTTTTTTTTATTCGAGGGTAAATGATAATGACATTTTTCTCCTAAAACAAAAGTTATACATTTTCATCTCGCGTTATTCGAAGATGTTTATCAAAGCCTCATAGACAGCAGTGCGACGCAGCATGGCAGGGTGAATAAACTTACGGTGTTGTCCTCGGCATGACTCGTGATCAACTAATTTTCAGGTGACATAAATTGTTACGTAACGCAACTTTGTGCAAAATCTTAAAGTCTGCTCGCAGCTTCGGTGGATGTAGAACTCATCGAAATTTCACAGAAACACTAAAATTAAAGCTAAAATTGAAATTAAATTACCGTTTACATCCGTTTAAACTGAAACCTCCGAACACAAATCGACAGGTGTGAGAAACAACGAAACTCCAGCAACATCAGCACCGAGATTCGATCTCCTGTTTCGACCGAAAACAACAAACACTGCGAAAACCGGGGGACGGAACCGTTTAATACCGGGCACGAACCCGTGCGATTCAGTGGAAATAAAGATCAACGACACAACGAACCAGCAGAGGCCGATCGATCACCACAACATCGAGGCAGCCGCGATACTGTTATGAAACAATGAAAACAAGTTATGTCTACAATTTAGCGTCGAAAGAGAGGGGGGCTACGCGCAGTATTGGCCCCCCCGTTCGCGACGCAGCTCTTCAGACTTCGATTACGTCACCGCGCGCCGCGATAAGCGACCGCGCCAATTTTTCCGATGGACCGCTGAGTCCGTTGACTCCATCGATTGATCACCGCTGAGCATCTCTGCTATTTGGAGCTTTGACTGAATTAGCGAGAAAAAATTTGAAGTGCTACTACCTTTAAGACATTGTGCAAAAGTACGATGTTCGCTAAACTTGAATTAGCCATAGATGCAAGAGACATAAGGACCCTGGGATTGGGTCCTGGCATCACCTACACTGGAAATGAAAACACATTGGATCTAGAGTCCAGACTCATGAAAACATCGACAAGAAAAAATACTCTTCATTCAATCGGATTTTTGCTTGAATCAAAACGAAATCCGCTTAAATTCCCTGGTAAAAATTGGCAGTAGAATCTGTGTTCCAAAATACCACAGACCTAAAGCCGGCTATAAGATTTCCAATAGCTTCTATAGCCGGCTGTAGAATTTCTTTTAGCCTTCTATGGCCGATGGTGATTAAGCAACAGCCAGACGATAAATTTCATGCTGAACGTTACGAAATACGGATACCAGGACTTAGTTAGTTTTTGGACTACCGCTCTCTTTTTGTGCCGTAGTATCTTGATTTATTTTGCGAAGAAAACTTCCGTACTTTTGAAGGATGCCTGTCATTCTTAATGTGTTGGAGCGCCTTCAATTTCTTATGATACTGTGCAATACGTCTGGTGTGAAATAGTTGCTTCAGACGCCGTGGCACGCTGCGGCGCGGCGGGCGCGCAGAAAGCGCGGAACGCGCATTGGCGCCTTCAAACCTACCAGGGATACTTCACGCATTGCGCAATGCGTGAAGTATCCCTGTTAGGTTTGTAGGCGCCAGTGCGTCGCCGCTCCGCTTTGTGTTAGGCCCTAATATTTAGTCTCGCGGAGTCAGCGTTTTTCAACTCATGATTTTGAAATGTTTGCACACTCTGTATGGATTATTCTCATTTTAATTGATGAATAAAAAAATGTTTTAAAGGAAAATGTAATGTGTGTTTTGTAAATATTAAGGTAGTTCCGTATCAATTTCTTATAGCCTTTTATAGCCAATGGCGATAAAGTGTAAAGCCCGGCGATAGGAACTATAGCCCGACTGTATACTTTTTTATAGCTTCGTATAGCCCGGCTATATGATTTGCTCCGTTTTCTACAGCCAGCTATATGATTTTCAATAGCATTCTTTAGTCGGCTTTAAGAACTCCTATGGTATTTTGAAACGCAGCTCCTATCGCCAATTTTTATCAGGGTTAAGAGGCTTGGTTCTTGATTTAAGCTAGATTCTGATCGAATCAAGAGTACTTTTACTTGTCGATGTTTTTAAGAGCCTGGACTCTAGATCCAATGTGTTTTTTTCCAGTGCATCACCTCGATTTTAGGCAGGCACTTTTCCTACCTTTATACTGCCGTGCAAGAGAAAAACGCCGTATAAACTTTTAGGCATTGCCAAATTTCTTTAGAAAAAATACAAATTTTTGAGAAAATTTGTGAATATTTTTCCTCCAAATTTCCGGACGATTTTGTGCGGAATTAAATATAAATTATCTGAAAATTTCAAGGGAAAATATGCATAAAATTCCTCAAAAACGCATATTTTCCCCCGGGAAATTTGGCAATACTCAAATGTTCATACGGCGTTTTCCTTAGCACATGCAGTATAGAGACACTAATCCAAGCCAAGCTGATACCTACCAAAACTTAACGTGTTGCTGTTTGACCAACCTCTCTAAACATGAACATTAAGCACCGTAGGTGACCCCTCCCCCCCCCATCAGCGCGAAAAAAGGAAGGAAGAAAAAGAGGAAAATAAGGAAGGAACGGAGGAAAAAAGAAAAATGACGCTTGTATTTGGTAATTATTCATGATGAAACTGACTCAAATTACATAATAGTTGCTTTAAAATGTTGAAATTTTTTTGACGGAAGCTCCACGGGCTCTCTTCCACCCACCTCCCTCCGTTCGAACAGTCTGTATCCGCCTATGTTGAGTACTTTGTCGGTTCCTCTACTACAATACAGAAAATGACAATTGCTAGATGGCGGTTGGGTGACTTAGAGACTTTTCGGTCTAGAATTTCGGTTCCCCGTAACAATTCTGGAAGATAGGTAACAAGAATACAGCTGAAAGAATTTCGGGTCGGTCCTTTAATTTTTAGAGGGCGGTGCAGGTGCACCCTTTTCGGACAAAAATCGTGATTTTTGTATTTTCACCATTGGATAATTTAAACCTATTTCATGTGTTCGAGGTATTGGCTCCCATAGTAGAAAATCTAAAAGACAGAATACCAAAGTAGAACTGTGCAAAATTTGGGATCGATCGGATCATTTTCAAGGGATGCGCGCTCCCTCTACGAGTGGAAAAACGTATCACCTCTATTTTTGTCATCTATCTTCCCGAATTTCCAAAATCCATGACCCAAATTGACCCAAATACCAAATACACTGAAAAAAAATTCTCGGCGTTTATACCAAGGTCCGTTGGTACCTTTACCATCTCACTTTTTTTTACCAATTCTTGGTAATTTTACTAAGACAGACTGGTAAGCTTACCTAAAAACCGGTATTTTTACTGTTTTTTAGGTAAGAATACCACTTTTATTGGTAATCAATTCCCGATAACTTTGCCATTTTACCTCGGTCATTCTACCACAGTCGATAAAAAATATTGGCGTTTTTACCAAGGTCCAGTAAAATTACCGAGAAAGTTCAATAATTTCACCGAGATTTCTCGGTAAAATTACCAATTCCGTAAATGGTAATTTTACTAAGAAAAAACTGGGATCAAATAGAACCCTGAATTCTTGGTAATTTTACCCTTTTCTTAGTAAATACACCGATATTTTTTTTCAGTGTATGGATGGAATTGGAATTATAAGGAACACCGAAAATTCGGTTCATGTAACCGAATTTTCTTTTCGGTGTAGAGTTCAAAAGCGATTTACTCTCTATAAGCGAATTTTCGCGATCGAATATCATTCACCGTTGAATGATATTCGACGATTGTGCATTTTTTTCAATGATATTCGACTTCTTCGTTGGTCTCACCAGAGACCGTTGAAATCCACCAATTTGAAATTTCGAATTCACCTCGGGACTTGAATTCGATTTTTGAATTGATGCAATCGATGTCAGAAACTTCATCTCTCACCAAAATTTTTGTTCTGTCATCTCTATCTGTTGTTGTGTTTTGTCGATACAAGAAGGGTGTTTTCGCAATTTCTGTGTTTTAGTGTTTCGCGTTTTCTTATTTTCTTCTTAATTTCATTTAGGAAAAAAATCTGAGCTCTGATTGGCTCCTAACATCACCGATCATCGGTATCACTCAGCACTGATCAATTCGTTTGATGAATGACATTCGATCGCGAAAATTCGCTTAATATACTCAACGGGCAACCACCGTGGAGGCCCGTTGCCACCAAGAACACATCTCGTTGAGCCGTTGAGCAGGTGCGAAAATCTCAACATCGACTCTCTGCGTCCCGTCACGGACACATCTACAGGTTGACCCGCGGTCGTCGATAGTGAGTTCGCATCTCTACCCCTCTCATTGATTACTTTTACGCGGAGGGAATTAATAATAACTTGAACAATGCGTCATATCGTAATTATAGTTTTACACTCTGGTCGGGGCGTCGCGAAGCATACCAAACGGTCGCCGCACAATGTAACGAGTCGTTGGGAGAGGTCGGACAAAATTTGGAGACTTTAAGTGCTCATAACTCCGTTCTTACAAAACTTTGAGGTTTTAAAAGTGGTCCCATTGGTTTCCTCTTGAAATTTTCTCTGAGAATCACCCCATAAAACTTAAAATGTGACGAAATAAGCATCAAAATTTGAAATTATCGTCAAAAATTTCATGTCCGACTTCTCCTGATGACTCGATCCACTGTGCGCCGAGTGCCGGATTGTTTACGATGGGCGCGCGGATGGGAGTGCTTATTTTGCTACGCACGGAAACCGAATGAACGTATTCATGCCAAAAGGAACTATGTCTCACACATACCCTATGCACATAGTTCTTTTTAGCATAAATTCGTCCGGACGTTCGTTGAATGAAACGGTTGCGAATTTTTTCGCATGCGTTTTCTTCCTTCCTCGTCGAGATTCGCTTTCGGGAAAGTGATAAGACGTTCGGTTTCTCTCTCGGGGAGATTGCGCGTAGAGTTTCATTCATTAAGGGGACTCACTTTTACGCGACCTTGAGAAAACTAGTCTCGTGCTGTACTGAATTACCTAATCGGCATGGCGTTTGGATAGACTGACCAATACTCATTACATCGATCAATCATTTTGAACGGTGTGCTCGATAAATTTTCCCTCTCTCTTCCTCAACCTCCCTCCTTCTTATCCCTCATCTCCCCCTCATTCTCCCTTTCTTTCCTCTTCAAAAAAATTCAATTTCTCTATTCTAGCGCTTGATTCAATTTCTTAGCCCTCCACCCCCTCTCCCCCCCAAAAAAACTATTAAACATTTATGAGTGTGTATTATGGTCGTTTTTACTGCGCACTATCCTTATCCCTCATTTTCCCCTCTTTTCCCCTTTCTTTCCTCTTTAAAAAATTCAATTTCTCTATCTTAGCGTTTGATTTAAATTCTTAGCCCCCCCCCCTCAAAAAAATTTAAACATGTATTAGTAAGTATTAGTCAGTTTTACTGCGCGCAAGGGCGCTCTGCGACGCCTACCCGCTACCGGAATCTGCCGTGGTAGAGATCTTGCGGAAATTGGTATCTCTTCATCTCGTAAAAAATTAAACATACAATTTAATGCATGGGAAGCTTGTTTCAAGGTGGTTAAAAAATTTAAGGTCACGGACACAGTGGCGACGAATTACATAAAATGTGCCCTTTAGACTCATGTCGAATAGTGGCGTTAATTCTCAAGAGAGGGTCTGTCCATTAAACTTTAACCTAGGTCTT